AAAAGAGATATTAGGGAAGGCTATTCCCCATGTCTACGAACATCCTAAAGATACCAAGGAGTGGATCTAGTATGGTCATTCATGGATGGATGGCCTAATCTTTGAGAGATGGGACTATGATGTAGGTGGTGTTGAATCACCAGTGTGATCAAGGTGAATAGGCATGGCCTTAGCGTAATGGGCTAATATGTTAGTGGTACCTTAAGGTGCCAGTCATGGGATCGGGCACGTGAAGCACTTGGACCAAGTGCAAAAGTTGTGTGGCATGGATGCCATTCTTAGGGTTAACAAACCCTAAGTCCTGAATTGGACTTATAGAGGTTGTAAATAAGACTCCTTTAAGTGGTTGGAGATATGGTTAAGTGGCTAAAGTAGAATGGAAAAATTAGCTGTTTACAAAACTCCATCTTGGATTCCATTTTGAATTCCATTTCAGGTCCATTTTGGACTCTATCTTAGACTTCTTTTTAGACTCTATCTTGGGTCCTTCTTGTGTCCCTTTTTTAGAGATTCATTTATTGTTTGCTTCGTGCTTATTCTTCGAGCACTTTGTTGGGAGTTCCACTTCTGCTCTCGACTTTTCAAATTGGAAATTTTAGTCCAAATGTGTTACACTTATTTGGCTCCCACTTCAACCACTACATAGCACCCTTTTAGCTCCTCTTTAGGGCCTAGGGATTTTATGTCTCACAAAGGGGTGTATTTTTATTCATGGGCCCTTTCCTTTTATATTTGAACCTTTATGGATCATCTCTTAAATCATTCTCTTTTATTGTTTACATCTCACGCAATTGACCAAAAGTACACTTAATCTCATTATTATATAGTTTATTTTCTTGCAATTTTTAAAACACTAACTCAAAATGTTTCAAATGATCCTCTAACTTTTCACTAAAGACTAGAATGTTATTGATATACAAAATAACAAATGTGTCTAAATAATTTTTAAATATTCTATAGCATCTTCAACAGGAGATTCCTCCCCTTGATTTGCTTGGCTTTTCAATGACTTTTTCTAATCATGTTAAGTATGCTTAACTAATAGTATTTTAAAATTCTGTCCTTATACTCTTATGGTTAAATATATATGTGATTAGTTTCTCAACTAACTTAGGTAGAGATTAATAAAAGGGACTAGTAATACTGACCTCTTGTCATCATAATAGTGTAAGAAACTAAAGATAACAATTTGATAAATGATTCAATGGGTAAAGGGAAAAATTTTATAAATAAGAGTGCACTTTTTTTTCCAATCAGTTAAAGATTTTAAGTGGGGTTAAGCATGCTTGGGTTTTGAGCTGGAGTTACTAGGTTGGATGACTTCTAGAAGTCCAAAATTAAGAACTATATATATAATATCTTTTTACTTTATTTTTATTTTAAACTTAAACTCCTATAAGATTAGCAACCAGCAAGTCACTCTCTCTATCCTATATAGCTTTAAAATATTTGTAAACAAGGCCATTTTAAGCATATGACTTGAGAAAAAAAAACCTAAGAATATAGGAATCTTTATGCTTTATTTCATCAAATATAAAACATGCCTCTTGCCTATACAGCTACTTAAGCAAAAAGAATTTGCATTGCTCTCATCTAAAAGATTCTTCTAAATTAGTTAAAAATGACAAATGATTTACATAAAATCATCAATTGCTTATGAAAGTCTTCCTCTCTTTTGCAAATCTAAAATTCAAAGAGCATTTACATCCTTGTTCCCCCAATTTTTAATCCTTGTTTATATAACCAGTTGATATATATTTTTATTATCAACAATAACACTAGATGCTTGCTTGGTTTCCTGCCACAAAAGAAAACTAAAACTGAAAAACAAACTCTTTAATATAAAAAAAAAAATTCTTTCCTTCCAATTGATCTCCTTGAGATTAGTATATAATAATTATTGTGCTAATTGCCTTCTTTGAAAGAAAAGAAAAAGAAATTAAATCCATCTCCTATAAAAGAAAAAATGGCATACTTCATCCTGTGTTTAGGGCTCCATTCCTCCTTGGTACTTCCAATAAGAATCTCTATAAAAATAGTACCCGAATCTCTACCCAATAGTAGTTTGATTTACAAATGGACTGAACCCTAGAAAACCTAAATTAGTATCTTCTCAGAAATATTTGAAGTTTCTAAATCTTTTTTATCAGGAAAGATTAAGCAAAATTTTCAGATTAACCAAATGTTCTTATCAGGTAGTATAAAACAAATATTTCCTATTGGAAGACATTTTTCTGCCATGAGATTTTTGCTGTTGGGAGGCTGTTATGAGATTTACCCATTGGCAAAATGTGTACCTATCAGTGTATTTATATGATGCAATCAGGAAATCACTATAAAGAGTAATATTTCTTCTTCTCTTCTCATTTTTCTGCTTTGTTCTTTACTTTTCTACTTTCTACTCAATAGTGCAAGAGATGGCAAGCAATAATCTAAGGAATGCATCAATAGTGGAGGATAATCTCGTCACGGAATTGAGGACACCCACATTGATGGCATGGAAGAGCAAGAAGTGCAAGAATGACAAGGCCACAAGTATCACTTGCAAGGGGAATGAGTCGATAATCAAAATATCAACTCATAATAGTGTTATTTTTGCAAGTTACTAGTCTTTGCAAGAGGAATCAGTCGATAATCAAAATATCAGCTCATAATAGTGTTATGTTTGCAGTTACTAGTCATTTAAGCATCATCCATTTTCTAGCGCCATTTTCCAAATGTTGCTTGCTTGCATAGTGTGTTAGTGCATGGTGCTTTAGCAATGCAATATAGGAGTCCTACTAGCCTTATTTTTTGCAACAACTGCTTGCGCCTTCTCTCTATAATAGCCAGTGGTGGGATTTAACTAGGTACATTGTTTTTCGGATGCTTGGTGACATTTTTTTTCCTAATTTGGCCAAGCAATCTTTTGTCCATGCATAATTCCAAAAGCAACTCATTCTCTCTGTGATCACCAATGCATCAGCCCATGTTCATGTAAGTAAGTTATAAAGTTCTTACTTCTTCTAATTTGCAGCTAGAACTGACTTTTTCATCTTCTTCAATGTTAGGTCTCTAGAAAGACTTTTTGAAGAATGAGAGGATTTATAAATCCTAGATGACAAAAGACCATTGAACACAACTAACAATCAAGGAACTCAAACTGTGGTGCCTGCAAAACAATCGGGTAGTTTGTGTATTTAAAGTCGATCTCTTTCCCCTCACATTCGGATCTATACTGAAAAAGGCCGTGCTCAATCATAGTGTCATCTGTGTCCTGGAAATTCTCTAGTGTCTACTTTTCGTCAGCATCCCGAGCGAAAGATCGAATTGAGTGTGCTAATGGCACGGACGCTTGCTTCTTTTTTCCAGCTTCCTGCACTCCATTTACACTAGCCTGCTTCACTCATTGGCACAAATCCTGCAGCAACGAAGCCCTGCCGCTTGACTAGTCAAACATCGCATCCCACAAAGCTTCCACCCTAGCATTCCTCTCGGATACAAAAGCCAACGCCTCATCCTTGGGATATTTCTTACGCGCCGGCAGGTGAATCCACCGCAAGCTGACGAGAGCAGCACAACATTCGCCTTGCACTCATCCTTGGAGATATTGACCAGCTTCTTCATCAGCTTGTCAACCTCACTAAGCTCCCAGTATGATCAAGAACGTTGGCCTCGTCAATGAAGACGGTTGGAAAAACACCTATGTAGCCATTCAGAGAAGTTCATAGGTGTTTGCAATGATTACCCAACTTCTATCGTTCCACCGGAGAATGATAAGTCAGTCCCGTCGATCCCGTCCAAATAATAGACATACTCGCTGCAAGGCGCCTTCTCCAGATCGGCATCCACTTGGTTTATCGAGAGTCTTGCCAACTCATGAACCACGGCCGTCTTTCCCGAATCTTTTGACCGACGGTGACCAGCTGACCCGGGTCGCCCAGCTAACTCAATTGGAAACATTACTAAACCCACGTGATACAGATAATTATTCCAACAAAGGTTTTAAAGATAACATTTTCAGCAATGTAATTCACACAGGTAAGGAAGGTCCCTCCAACTTTCAATTCAAAGCCCGGTGTGAGTACCGGTGTGGGTGCCGGGGACGTGAGCTCCCGTGCCAGTATGGCCGGTGCCGGTGTGGGTGCCCGTGCCAGTATGGCCGGTGGCGGCCGACAGGGGGTTGTGTGTGCCGGTGTGAGTCCCCGTGCCAGTATGACCGGTGGCGCCCGACAGGGGGTTGTGTGTACCGGTGTGTGTGCCAGTATGAGTCCCCGTGCCAGTATGACCGGTGCCGGTCGACAGAGGATTGTGTGTGCCGGTGGTGTGGCCGAGCCCCGTATCGTGGTGCCCAATCCCGTGCTTCTTCTCCTCCGCCTTGGCGATGTTCTCCGCCTGCTTCTCGTGGAGGTGTCCCGCCGCCTCCGCCTCCTTCATGTGCTTCCTCTCCTTGGCCTCGTGCTTCTCGGCCTTGTTGTGCGCGGTCACCTTTTCAGCCTGAACGAAGACCACACCAATGAATTGATCAGCACGAAGCTCAATCGATCGATATGAGACAATGACACGACAATCGCTCGGACCATCTAATAACAAGTATAAAAGATACTACTCAATTCAGTTCATGAGACACCAACGTGAAGCATTTTGAGATCGAGCAAACATCCCGGATTAAAGAAAGGGGGGAAATCTCACCTTCTCGGTGCCCGAGGCCTTAGCCGAATCCATCTTCTCCCCGGCCTTGGCCATCGCGTTGCCGGTCTTCTCCTGCACTGCGGCGGTGGCATTCCTAACACCCTGCATCTTCAAACACCTTTCGAATCAAACGATCTCGACTAGAAATCTCTTCGCTGATCTGATCACAACCAAAAGAGCTAGAATGCGTCACGTTTTCTATCCATAGCGCTTATATACACATCGCCCAGGCTAGAACCACGCGCCACGTATCGACCATCCTAGTGACGACACGTGCATTTCCTTTGTGACGTGTCTCTCATGCACTGGGCTGCGCTGGCGAGCGGCCATTGACGGAAAAGGCATCTTCTTAGAATGTATTACATATTGGCGAGGGAATAATCTTCTCTCACTAGGTAGTACGTGGCTTATTTTGAGTGGGATCTCTTTTCTGAGGTGTCCTTGAGCGAAGGTTGAGCTGATAATTCACTGGAAATTTGCGAGCTATCTGGCGATGGTGATTCTAAAGAGCTAAGGTCATCGCTCGAGCTAGCTTGAGCCTGTAGAAGTAGAAAAGCAAAAACACAAAGACACATATATCGCTTAAGATCCCGAGAAACTAAACTTTTCAGAGCGATCGAAACTTACGTGTGAGAGATTGCTGCTCCAAATCATCCCACCGCTGCTGCTGCTGCTGCTGTTGTTCTCGAGAGCTGGCTGACAATACAAGTTCGTCAATCCAGACGATGAAAAGTTCCTGCCAAGATCCAAACTCGTTGGAAGAAAGCTCGAGCTATAAACTCCAAGTATATCGGCAAGACCACCTTGAAACACACCGGTGCTAGGCGACTCGGGCTTCAGCGGACACGGCAAAACCACACCCATGAGAGGTCCGCTGGCCAGAGAAACGCCCGAGGCCGGGGAAACCAGAGGAAGCGAGAAACCCAGAGGAGGAAGGAGCGGAGGTGGCGGCCCGACTGACACGAAAGAAGCGGCTGCCGAGGACGAAACCAGCGATGGAAGGTGAGAAGTGAAAGTCGAGTACTGCAAAGCCGAGGCGGCTCCAAGCGGACATGGGCAGTAGTAAGGAGCCACGACTGCCGAGAGAGGAACGCTAGGAACACTTACGGAGCCACTTACTAGGAGCGGGAATGGAACGAAGGTCTGTGGGAGTGATCCAAGGATTCTCTGCGCGAAAGCCTTCTTGTCGAGCTCTCCCGAGCTTCTCAGCAGCCGCTGGCTCTGGTTGAGTGAGAAGAGCGTCGCGGCGATGGAGCTGGAGCCAGGAACAGTGGTGGAAGTCGACGAGGCGAGGCCAAAGGACATGCCTATTGCTGCTGCCGCAAGCGCTTGCGAGCACACTGCGCTTGGAGCATCGTCTCCTTCACTCGAACAAACAAATGGATTGCTCAAACTTGGAAGTGGCAAAGAACCTGGCAGCAGAGCTTCTGGGCCGGAAGAAAACGAGTACGAAGAAGACGGTGGCAAAGTTTGCAAGCCGCTGGCGATCGACTTGAGACGCGACTCGTGGATGCCTGTCTGCTGACACAAGGTTGGCCTTTGTTGCAAGATATCTTTCATCTGTAGCACAACAAAGGCACGAACGTTTTTCTTTAGCTCTTCTCTAGAACAGACAAAAAGGGATGAAGAAAAATGTGACTGACCTTGAGGACTAACTCATCTCCACGAGCTTTGGACTTTTCCGATTGCCAGAAGAACACCGATCTGTTTGAGGCGAGTTTGAGGACGAAGGATCTGCCGGAAGAGTCCGTAGCGATTTCTTGCAGCTCAACTGGAAAAGAGCCTTGGATTGGTGACGAAGAAACTAGAGCCAGTCTTTCGATCGTCCCATCATCGCCCAGGAATGAGAGACGGAAGTCGGAGCTGGGCAGCATCGTCAGATCGAGGTGACCCCTGCGGCAAAAGAAAAGAGAAAGAGTAAACCACCCAGCCTTTGGAAATCACAAAGATCTTACGCTATACCTTGAATTTGTTGGACGAAGAAAGTAGCCATGGCTGACAATTCTTCCAACGCGAATCGAGACGAGAGGAGCACATAGACACCGAGCAAGCGTGGCGACTTCCTCCGAAGAGAATTTCTCGCTGTTTGACGACGAAGCAGCAGCATCCAATGACGGGCTAGACAAGGAGATTGCCACAAACCCTGAATCCGCCGCTGGGCGTGGTGAAGCATCGGATCCGGAGCAAGCACTGTCCGACAATGGATTGGAGCCGTCTGGTCTCTCAGCATCCGCCGCATTCGCCTTACCGCATTCCCAGCCGCAGTTCTTATCACTTGCGTCCATCGCCACCAGCCCTAACCTAGGAAAATATTCGGCGAATACTTTAAATCGATTCTTTATGCAAAGGGTTTGTAAATGAATAAAATCATCTCTGACTCAATTTATTTTAATTTTAACAAACATGATGTTTTACTAATCAGATTTTAGGAATAAGGATGATCACTCTGACACCAATATATTTACTAATTTGTAATAATAATCCGAAATATATTTCATAAGCATGCAGTCAGTGTTCCATCCATATTGCCTATAAATTCGTTGAGATCAATCTTCTTGATATCACCCCCACACTGTGTTACTAATATGTGCTTGTCCTCTAAGGTTACACCACTGCAGGATCCCAGGAAATTACCAAACTCTTTTCGGTGCAAGTTGTGGTCTGTAGCAAACTGCACCAAATCATTGAGGTTCAAGTCAGTGCCATGGGTAGATTTGTCCTTCTTGATGCAATTTCCATTCAGCCAGGAACCATCCTTGATCACAACATCGTCGCAAGTCTTTGAGTAGTCCTTGACGTCCTCGTTGCACTATCAACACAGAATTAAGAAATTTTCCCACTGCCAACATGAAACTTACATGGGGCCTTTCAACTAGTATGGCACTTGCAGTGACGATCAAAGCAAATAGTATTAGAGGAGAAGCATAGCCCATGCCTTGGTTGCTAAAACTATATGAGAAGCTCCGCAATAGTTTATTTTGGTTGAATTTAACAATGACATAGGAATACAGAAATATACATAGCCTATGTACAGGAGCGGCAAGAATCGCAATATTATTTCGAACCACGTGGAGTAATATCCATTTATCTATATAGAACTTTACAATAATTAAACCAAGCAGAATCAAATATAATTCTTTTCGCATATCTCTTTTAGCCCCTGCATTTTAGGGTTTCTCTTTTAACTTAGGGACTTAGAGGAGGAGGAGGAGAGATCTCTGGCGATGGATGGAAGCGGCAACTCGCTCGCCTCGGGGCCGGAGGGGCGGAGCAAGCGCGTCGCCTACTTCTACGACCCCGAGGTAGGGAACTACTACTACGGCCAGGGCCACCCAATGAAGCCGCACAGGATCCGGATGACCCATTCCCTCCTCGTCCACTATGGCATTCACAACAAGCTCGAGGTTCTCAAGCCTCTCCCCGCCAAGGATCGGGACCTCTGCCGCTTCCACGCCGACGACTACGTCGCCTTCCTCCGGGTCATCACTCCCGAGACGCAGCACGAGCACTTGCGCGCGCTCAAACGATTCAATGTGGGCGAGGACTGCCCGGTTTTCGATGGCTTGTACTCGTTTTGCCAGACTTATGCCGGTGGATCCGTCGGTGGGGCTGTCAAGCTCAACCATGGTCACTCGGACATTGCGGTGAATTGGTCTGGTGGATTGCATCACGCGAAGAAGTGCGAGGCCTCGGGGTTTTGCTACGTCAACGACATTGTTCTTGCCATCCTGGAGCTTCTCAAATACCACGCTGTAAGTTTTTCGTGGTTTTCTCTGTCGAGAGCTCGCAAAAATTTCCCTTTTCTTATCATTCCAGAGAGTTCTATAGTTACAAAGTTCTTTCCTATGCTTGTTTGTGTTTTTCTTTGTTCTCTTTCGGCAGTAGTTCTCTCGCTGTTGCAATACTCCTAAAGCTGCTACAAGCTTCTCTTGAGTTCTCATCCTTCAGTGTTGCTACAAAGTTTCTGTCGTACTTGCGCTTGTTTTCACTTTGTTGCATAGCCACAAAGTTCTCATGGCTCTTTCTTGTTTCTCTTTCCAGCGAGTTTTGTACATTGACATTGATATACACCACGGAGATGGTGTCGAGGAGGCCTTTTACACCACAGACCGTGTCATGACCGTCTCCTTCCACAAGTTCGGGGACTACTTCCCCGGAACCGGGGACGTGAGGGACATGGGACACGCCAAAGGGAAATACTATTCTCTCAACGTCCCGCTCAACGATGGCATCGACGATGAGAGCTACCATTCTTTGTTCAAGCCGATCATCACCAAAGTGATGGAGGTTTTCCAGCCGGGGGCTGTCGTGTTGCAGTGTGGAGCCGACTCGCTGTCCGGGGACCGGCTTGGATGCTTCAACCTGTCGATCAAAGGCCACGCTCAGTGTGTTAAGTTCATGCGGTCTTTTAACGTTCCGTTGCTGTTGCTCGGAGGCGGAGGCTACACAATCCGCAACGTTGCTCGGTGCTGGTGTTACGAGGTTTGTACGACTTGAGAAACAAGCTCTCTTTTACTTTGGTTTCTTGATTAGAACAACACCTTGCCTTGCAGACTGCTGTTGCTGTAGGTGTGGAGCTTGAGGATAAAATGCCATACAACGAGTATTACGAGTACTTTGGCCCGGATTACACGCTCCACGTTACTCCGAGCAACATGGAGAATCAAAACTCGGCTCAGTACCTGGAGTCCATAAGGTCTGATTTCATTTTTTACTTCTCTGTCCTTGAGTACGATGTCTTTGTATTCACTGAGTGTACAGGAATCGACTCCTGGAGAACTTATCGAATTTACAGCATGTACCAAGCGTACCATTCCAGGAGAGACCACCTGATACTGATCTTCCAGAAGAGGTCTCCCTCTCTGTGGCTTCTACATGGTGAAAAGCTGAGAAGTTGTTTATAACTGTAGGAGGAGGAAGACCTCGATACGCGTGAGAAAGGTCGGGCTTACTCAGACTCGGAGTCTGAGGAAGACGAGCCTCGCAGGAGTCGTCACCAAAGTCCTAATGACGCTGCCATATCCAGGTTTCGTGCTCTCTTTCTTTATCTTCTCTTGCGTTGAGCTAATATCAAGTGTCCGGCTGCGTCTTTTACAGGCGACAATCACCCTCGGCAAGAGATGACCGCATCAAAAAGGAAAAAGAAGAACTTATGGTACGAGGACAATGAATTTTCTTATTTCCTTGCTCCTGACGGGACTATTATATCTGTGTGAAGGACGAAGGAAGTGATATCGACGGGGATCTACCCAAGGTTCAGCAAGAACCTCAAGATGACCAGGTTTATATACCTCTCTCTAGATTCTATGGCTGAAAAACCACCGAAAACAACAACAAAAACCATTTTTTGGCAGCCGACTGCGATGGAAACCGATGCCAAAGCCGAGGAGAAGTGCTCGTCCTTGCTCCCGGATGCACCCTCGGCCCCCCTGGCCTCGTCCGCGGACACAGCGCACGAACCAAACGAGCAGAGCACCAGCAACACAAATTGGCAACTTGTGACGACCTCCACTGCTGCTACGGCCGCAGCGATGAATGCTCGAAGTCCATTAGCTCCTCCCGCTCCTAATCAAGCTCCCCCGAGCTCGACAGCCATCGCCACTGCTGCTTGGACGCCTCCAACTTCTGCCACAGTCGTAGCTCGGCTGCCTCGATTCTCCGCGAGCTCTGGAGCTCCAGTTGCTGCCACTGTCACTGCCACCGCCACGGTTACCGCTGTTACGAGCTCCACAGTGGCGAATTCTCCAGCTCCAGCGCCAGTTCCAGCGGCTCTAGCTCGTGTGACCGAAGCTCCCACACCAATGACTCCTTAAAGGTAAGCTCTCGAAAAAACTCTTCTTTGCTCTAACACAAGTTTTCTCTTTTTAGAACGCGATCGAGCTAACAGTACTTATAGGATTTGGATCATCCACAAGAGGAGAATTTACGAGCCAAGCAAGCTCTTGTTCTCTAAAGCTTTGTAAGCTAAATTTTTTCTCTCTATTATGCTCGAATCTTTCTAAGTGGACACTGCGCGAAAGAGAGAAGTGTCTCGTCCACGAGGTAGGTAGCTTGTCAATTCGATCATCCATTTGGGATGATATGAATTTGGGCCATGCGGCGGTACGGCGTTGGCCATGGTCCACACTCAAGAAAAAATATTATAAGATTCATATATTCTGATGCGCGTACGGCCTTTTTCGATCCCCCACTGTCACGCCGAGATTATGGCCGCCGGGAACTTGCCGGCATATTCAAAACGGCCGGTGGGCTTTCTTTTCCCGCCGCAAAGCGCATATTCCTTTCACTCCACGTTGGCCATTACACCGAGCAGTAAAAACATGCCACGTAGAATTTACAGCTGGCCTCCACTCTCCCTCTAATTTTCTTTGTTGTTAAGAATCTCCCATTGCATTAACGAAGCGAGCGTGTGCGTCGAGGGTTTAAAGTTTTTAACGCTTTGCTACTATAGGCGCCCAAAACATTTTACCGGATCAAGTACTAGAAGGAGACTTTAGTACTTTAATCCAGGTAAAAGTAGCAAACTGGAAAATGGCGGGAAACCACGAGGTAAGAAGAAATTCCTCCCACCCCCCCAACGGGGCTCCCGGACCCCAAATGGCCGATTAAATCCGCCGCAATGCCATCTCAACCACCCGCCTAGTTTTAACCTTCCCACGAATTTTACTCGAACTGGTCCACGCCGAATTTCCCTTGTAAGCCGGCTGCATGGCACGCAACCAGCAAGCCTTAACTGTGCATTTCTCACCGCGGGGTAGCGTCTGCCGAAAAGTAACGTATAGACCGGCTGGTCCGCCCGGCCTTAAGCTTCTTAAAGCGAAACACAATGCGCGGGCGCCTGGCCTAGAAGTTCTTTTCGTTTGGCAAGCAAAAGCCCGAGAGCGTATGTATCTCTATAGGCCGGTTGCATGGCCGCGTTTTGCCCGGGCTATACCTTCTAATATTCGGTGAATATTCACGAGGGCTTGGGTGGAAGCTTTAGCGTGGGTGTAGAAACCCACGCCTACGGTGTGTGTGTGTGTGTGTGTGTGTTGTGTTTTCTTTCTTTCTTTGTGGTACCTATATGCGCGCTGTGCTTTCTGCGTGTTTGGAGCTATGGCGCCGTGACGAGGAGGTTAAAGCGATCGATCGATCCAGGCGAACGCAGCGATCCATTGATCGGCGCATTGGACCGCGGATTGGAATTCGTCGGTAAGCTGTGGATTCCCGTCTTTCTCGGAATTTGCGCTCTCTCCAGCTCAAGATCTGCGGGGAAAGCCCCAAATCTCCGTAATCTTCCCTGCATTGCGCTCGATCTCTCCTCCCCTCACGATCTTGGTCTCCAATTCCGATCCCCGCCGCCAAGCCGCCAATCCCGCAATGCGCGGATTGAGAAATCTTTGCAAGAAGCTGCGCTAATCGATGGGAATTCACTCCTTGGCTGTGTGCTCGCAGGCGCTAATGCTGGAGGCGGACAGCGGCCCACCGGGCTTGTTTCCTCCCGGCTGCTTTGCTCCTCACAGCGGGGACGAGAGCGGGGAGGAGGAGGAGCTCTCGGTTCTTCCCCGGCACACCAAGGTCATTGTGACTGGAAACAACCGCACGAAATCCGTGCTCGTCGGGCTACACGGCATCGTGAAGAAGGCCGTGGGACTTGGCGGCTGGCATTGGCTGGTAAGCAAAAAAAATCAATGCTTTCCTTGCTTTGCATTCCTCTCCGGTTTGATTGATCACGGCGGCTTTTCAAATTCCATCTTGCTTCTTCTTCTTGGAAACAGAGCTCGCGATCGCGCGCGATGGATTCCGAGCTCCAGCAAGCATTTTTTCTTCTTCTTGTTGCTATTGTTTTGTTTTATTGATCTCGATGCCCCATGGCGGAATCTAATCGAATTGCTCTTGGCAGGTCCTCACGAACGGGGCCGAAGTAAAACTCCAGCGCAATGCGCTGAGCGTGATCGAAGCGCCCACTGGACAGGAAGAAGACGACGATATCGACAACCCATTCTCGAATGAAACAACACCCGGTATGGCTTCCTTGAAATCAAACTCGCGCTTTTCTCTCTTGATGGCTGACTTCCCGCGCTGCCCAGATGATTTCCCAAGAACATTCAAGCCCAGAGTCCGGCCCCAAAAGCCCGCGGCGCACGAGATCACGCGCATGGCCGATGAATCCAAGCGCAGCTCGGAGAGACGGTGCGAATTCGGCCTCAAGACGTCCCAGTCGCAATGTGTGCCGGTAAGCAAGCATGGAATTCTTTACATATAGCAGCTCAGTTTCCTCTAGCAGGTTTTACTTTCTGAAACCAAAACGTTTCTTCCTCCTTTCTTAGGTTGTGGACCTTGGTAAACTCGATACGGCAGCGCTAAGGAGATATCGGCGACACTTCAAGCTCGTAAGCCCATCTATCTACTTTTGACTTCATGGGAGAGAAACGAAAGAAAGAGAGATGCATGTTTATCGAGAGAGCGAGAGAGAGAGAGAGAGAGAGAGAGAGAGAGAGAGATCCGTGTCTAAAACACCGTCTTCTCAGTTTGATGTAGGCCCGAATTCCTCGAAAGAACAGCTACTGCAAGCAGTGTCAAGGCACTTCGTGGGACAAGTAAGTCGCTCCTCGTCCCGTGACCCCATTTCATTTCATTCCCCTCGTAAAGACGATAGCTTTGCGTTTAAACAAGCAAACTTATCCCCCTTGTGTGGTGGTGGCGTGGCAGCAACTGGACGAGCTGCAGGTGATCACAGGATTTGTGCAAGCTGCAAAACGGCCGCGAATGTGAGCTGCGCTGTGCTGCCGCTGCTCCCTGCTGCTAGGCTGCTACCTTCGACGAGAGACGAAGATTTGCGCGACCAAACTTTTGCCAGGCATAAAAACTTGTAAGATATCTACAACCCTCCCCCGTCCTCTTTTTTCCTCGTTTTTTTTTCTCCTCCGTCCTCCTTTCCTTGTTCTGGTCGTCACTGTCCCATTCCTAGTAATTCTCGTATGGGAGAAACGCTGCTGCCGCTGGCTCTTCTGTCCCCTTGCTTCTCGCTCGCCTCGCCTGATCGCCTGATCGCCTTCCCCCCTATAACTTATGCTCTTGTTCGCCACGGGGGGTGCTTAACTTCTAACCAAATGTGTCTAAACTGTACAGAGGTGCCAGAAAAGAATGAGAAAAAAAAAGAAATTTCTAAACACCACGTCTTTGATCGATCGGTAGCGATGAATGATCTTAGAACCTCGCCGTGAATCATGAAAGGGGAAAATTCTTTGGTGTGGATGGATCGTGGAAGGATGACTTTGACTCACACTAGCACTAACGAAAGTGGGCGAGGAAAGTGGGGGCGGTAGTGGTATTTGACTTTTTGAAAACGCGACACCCAAAAGGACGCGCGCTCTGTGTTAAGTCTCCTTGATTTTATTCTCGCCCGAGATCTCTGCGCGGCGAGATTTTCTTGCTTGCTCGATTGACAAAACTTTGTAGGGAGCAAAAAGATTTGGTTTGCTCGAGAAAACAAGGCGCACCTAAGATCTTTAGAGCTCGGATGTGAAGTCGGGCTTTGGCGGATAGGTGCAACCCGAGCGCTGGATGATGACGTTGGCGGCGTAGTTTCCGGCCTCGCAGCACCGCGGGATACTCTTGCCTTGCACCAGATGTGACAAGAATCCACCAACAAACGCATCACCTGGAAAGAAAAGAAGGATGCTTTGTTAAGAGGGTCCAAAAGGATAGAACTGGCAGCGACAACGATGGACAAGCTAGCGATATTGAAATGCTCGCTCACTCACCGGCCCCATTTGTGTCGACGAGCTTCTCCTTTGGAAGGAGCTTCACTGGAAATCTTGTCACCTGGGGACCGACGGAGTTGAGATATGAAAACACAGAAGCTTTTGGTCTCTTACCTTGCCGTCCTCCGCGACGACCGTCGGGTCGGCCCCCTGCGTGATGACTGTGACTCGCTTGTGAGTCCCCGACGCCTTTGGAAGTGCCGAGATCTTTAGAGCGATGGTCTCGACGTCGTCAGTCTGTCCAGAGAGGAATGAGAGACTCGGTTAGAGTTGGAAGACAAGTTTAAGAACAAGTCTTTTAAACCTCCCAGTTTTGACTCTTTGAAAAAGCCCTGGCCTCGGTCTCGTTCCCAAAAACAAAGTCGATGTACCTGTGGGCATCGCGAACACATGAAGCAAAAAAAAAAAAAAGTGCATTGGACACGTCTCAAGGATGTGCACTCACGGAAATGCCTCCATCAGCTGGCTGGTAAAGAACTCGCATATGAATGGGGCCGCCAGGTTCATCATGAAATACTGCACGCAGTGAAGATGCGAGAAAAACTCATCAGAGCTGAGGGAAAATGCATGCGCACAATTCACCTTTCCTTTCTCAGCTGCGTGCTTGGCGATAAGCATCACAGATTTCGCAGAGACTGTCAAGAAGAACCCGGCTATATAAAAGAATTTCGCCTTTTCAACTGCATGCAAGCTTTCCATGAGACAAAAGGAATCCAACTACACGAAATGGATTTACCAAATGCCCAGTTTTCAGGCTGCTCCAAATGGTGAACTTTATAGCAGTTTGCAGCAGACAGGTTGGCAACCAAAGACCTGAAGCGACAAGAGAATTATCTACAGAGGAACAAATCTTTTAGAAGTATACCTTTCTCCTCCCACAACGAGAACAGCACAGGTACCGGTGGGTGTGGATTCATCTTCGTAGTATCGAACCTGCAAAAGGATCCAACTCCGATTAATATATCAAGATCCACACTGCGGAGGAAAACTTACATTCACCCCGCCAGCAGTCGAGCTCTTCTTCATCTCTTTTCCGAATTCGTCCTTTCCAATGCAGCCGATGAATGTGGTAGCACCGGGGACTTGCAGCATCCACTACACACAGGCTACACATTTCAGCAGCGCGAAGAAACCAAAGATGCGAACTTGAATTACCTGGGCGACCCGAATAGCATTCTGAGTGGCACCTGAGAAAAGTTTGAAAGATTTTTCCTCGGTATGGATCGACAAGCTATATAGCGAAAGAAATACCTCCTGCAATGTAGTCAACCTTGTACTTGTTAGCGAGCTCTCGGTACCTGGAAAAACACGGAAAAGACAGGAACATAAGAACACTAGAGCCGGAATTTCCAGATCTGGAATCACGCGCATCGAAATCTCGCAATGCTTACATTGGCAAATGCTTCTCCTCGGCCAGGATGGCGTTGTTTAGCTTCACATCATACCTGGAGAACGATATCACACGTTATCCAGCGGCAAATCTAGAAAAGATGAAGAGAACGCGAGCACAAACTTCTCAAGAAAGCTGGGATCCACGACAGCTGAGATGTCGAGCAGAGGGTTTCCAATCCCGAGAAGAACGCCTTCCAGATCTTCCTGCCGAGCCATTCCCTAGAAAATCGAGAGAGAGAAGCGAAGGGACGAGGAGAAGAGGCGCGGCGCTCTTGGCGGGCGAGCAAAGCGCCAATGCAGCCACAAGAAGAAAGAGAAGAAGGTTTAAGCCGAGAAGAAGAAGAGATATTAACCTAAACGAGCTTTTAAGCGACGAGATTCGAGACCGCGACCTCCTGTGGTAGGTGGCGTGGCGCAGTGAGTCGTTCCAGCCAATGGAAAACCATCTAGTCAAACATCGAGAGCCAAAATTGTCCACCATGGTCTCCACATTTTTGACAATAGCATGAGATTAGCTGCCAACGTTGATGGAACGCTAAAGTCCTTTGTTTCGCTAGTAAATTCTTGCTCCATTAACAGAGATTTGCGGGCTGCAAAGCTAGCGCATCTACAAATCTTGCAATCCCCACACAGAAACGACCGGTTTCTCGCAAATTATCTGATCAAAATGTACGGCAGGTGTGGTAGTGTTGAAAATGCAAGAGATGCTTTCGCCAGCATCAAAGACCCAAACTTGTTTTCTTGGAGTTTGATGTTCACAGCAGTTGCCCAGAACCGGCATTTAGAGTACGCTCTAGAGATCTTCCATAGAATGCCAGAGAGAAACCTAGTGATTTGGAACACCCTAATGCTCGCTTACTCCGATACCTCGCAACACGATATAGCGGAGAATATCCTCAGCATAATGCCCGAGTGGGATATCGTGTCCTGGAACTCCATGCTTCAAGCATATGCCAAGAATGGGTATCTGGAGCGCGCAAAGATTCTCTTCGACGACATGGGCGAGAGGGACGTGGTGTCGTGGACGACGATGATATCCGCATATTCCTCGTGTGGGCTCGTCCACGATTCCTTGATGCTCTTTACGAAGATGCCAGGGAGGAACCAGGTATCTTGGAATTCTATCACGCACGCATTTGCCCTCAATGGCTGCGTGGGCGATGCCAAGCGCTGCTTCGATCGGATGCCCGAGCGCAATCTCATCAGCTGGACGGCGCTGGCTCGCGTCGATCCGGAGCTCGCGATGGAGCGGATCCCGGCGTGGCCGGGCGCGTCGATTCTGGGCTTGATCTCGGACTATGGAGAGGCTGGGGAGCTGGACAGAGCCCTGGCGATCTACAGCACCATTCCGGGCGAGGATCTGGAGCTCTCGACTAGCATGATCCACGCGTATGCGCGCAATGGGGAGCTGGATCCGGCGATGGCTTTGTTCGATCGAATGCGGCAGCGGGATCTCGTGGTGTGGTCGCTCATGGTGTCGACGCTCGCGCATCACGGGCGATTAGCGGCTGCCGGGGATTTCTTCGCCAGGATGCCCGAGAGGAGCATCGTGGCCTGGAGGGCGACGATCCAGGGGCACGCGCAGAGCGGGCGATCGCAGGATGTCGCGAGGATTTTCGAGGATCTGCCTCAGAGGGACGCTCTCTCCTGGACATCTTTGATCGTCTCGCATGCCATTTGTGGGGATCTCGCGAAAACAAGGCAGTGCTTTGAAAGATCTCCCGAAGTAACGGTGGTAGCGACTTGTGCTATGATCAGTGTGCTTGGAAGGTACGGTCATGTAGAAGAGGTCAACCTATTATTTAATTCCGTACCAAACGAAGATCCAATGGCTTGGACTGTCGCTATAACTACAAATACCAAGTGTGGGCATTTAACTAACGCAAAGACCTTGTTTGACAAAGCGACTAAGAGAGACGTTAGGGTATGGGATGCTATTATAGGGGCATTTGCACAAGCAGCGTATTTAAGCAGGGCGTTAATCGTGTTTAGCAAGATGCCATGTTGGGACATAGTAGCCTGGAACACCATTATCACCGCAAATGCCCTCAAGGGGTATCAAGAGGAAGCGTTGGATTTCTTCGCGATTATGCCCCAGAAGAACGTGGTGTCGTGGACGGTCCTGATCGCCGCGAATTCCCACGCGGGAAGGTGCAGGGACTCCATCGCGATCCTCCACTCGATGCAGCAGTGTGGATTCCTCCCCGACGACACCACATTCACGATCGTCTTGCTCGCGTGCGCTCACGCGGGGCTGCTGGACGAGGCGCGCTGGTGCTTCGAGCTCATGGTGTGCGACTACTCGATCCAGCCCACGCGCGAGCACTTTGGATGCCTGATCGATGTGCTCGGCAGGAGTGGATCGCTGGGCGACGCCCAAGCGCTCATCGATGTGATGCCCTACAGCGCCGACAATGTGGCGTGGGGGATGTTCCTCAGCGCGTGTCGATTGCATCACGATGTGATTGGGGCCAATTGCGCGGCAGATCGTGCCATCGAATTGGCGCCCACCATCTCTTCTTCGTATGTGATGCTCGCGAGCTCTCTGGTTTGAACGATGAACGAGGGCCGTTGATGCTCCCGGGAGGAGGAGCGATCCCAGCCGTTGGGTTCTGGAACGAGGAGAAGCAATGGATAGCGTCGTGTGCTCCGCTAGGGTTTTGGTTCCCCGGAGCTTCATTCCTTCGTTTCGGCCGCATTGTCAGCCGCATCGCCAGAGGACGCAGCAGCGATTCCGTCTCAGTGAGTAATCGATTCGCGCATATTGCGTAGAAATCTGAGAAGAGGAAAAGGAGAAATCTCGCTGTTTTTCCAGGCATTGTCGCGGTTTCCAGCAATGATTTTAAGACTGGAACGGAGATTGAGATTGACAATGCGCCCTGGCGCGTCATCGGTGAGTTTTTCTTGTTTGATAGATATTTTCCAGGGAGAATGACCGCATTGTTTGTAGAGTTTTTGCATGTCAAGCCTGGCAAAGGCTCTGCCTTTGTGCGAACCAAGCTAAAGAATTGCATCACTGGCAACACTGTGGAGCGGACGTTTCGGGCAGGAGAAGTTGTAAGTTTTTTCCTACATTCTCAAGGAACAAACATTGACGAGCTTCTCATTTTCTCTCTAGCTAGAAGACGCCACAGTCCAGAAGAACGTAAAGCAGTTCACTTACAGAGATGGCGATCAGTACGTTTTCATGGACATGGTAAGAGCTAATCGAGAATTCATCTTGCGCCTTTCGCGAATTTTTTTTCTTGTAGGTTTCTTTTGAGGAATCTCGCTTGAATGCCAAAGAAATTGGAGACAAAGCAAACTGGCTGCGTGAAGGAATGGACTGCACAGTTGTGTCGTGGAAAAATCGGGTATGTCTGTTCTGTTTGTGTTCTCCCTTGTTTCAATATGTTTTAACTCGATCTCACGAGGCAGATTCTCGAGGTAGACTTGCCAATCGCTATGAAATACAAAGTCGTCCAAACGGATCCAGGAGTTAAAGGAAACAGAGAGTCAGGTATATAGATGAATTCAAGGGATCTTGTCTCGGTTTCGTGAAAGTTTTTGTTCATCTTCAGGTGGAACGAAACCGGCAACACTGGACACTGGAGCTGTGGTTAACGTCCCGCTGTTCGTGGATGAAGGGGAGGAGATTATCATCGATACGCGCACTGGGGAGTACATGAGTCGCGCAAAATCTTGAGAGTAAGTTGTCCTCTGCGATCCAAATTTTGTAGGAGCTGTGTTAGTGGATCGCTTCCATGGCCTCCTCAACAAAGAACTCCAGTTTTTGGACAAATGTAGCCAGGACGATCAAGTATCGATCGCATCTTTTTTGAATCTAAGGATATTCCTATCTCCCGCGCTTCTAGTTTTAGGGCTTTTGAGCTGCGATAACGCTCGCGAGCACGGCGTAGGAGCTCGATCTCCTGGGCTCCAGCGCGATAGCTTCCCTCGCGGCTCGCTTCGCCCTCTCAAGATCACTGTGCGTCCGGCACGACCCCAGGAAGCTCATCCAGATGAGAAGATTGGGACGCCCGCCGGGGATCCTGCCCATGAATCGCTCCGCCTCGGCGAGCGCCCCCAATCGCCCCAGCAGGTCGATCACGCAGCCAAAGTGCTCCATCTTGGGCTGGATGCCGTGGTCGAGCCGCATGGACGCGAATTGGCGCAGGCATTCCTCGAGCATCCCGGCGTGGCTGCACGAATTGAGCACCGAGACGAAGAGCGCCGGGTGGATCTTGACGCCCTCTTGCTGCATCCTCCCCAGGATCTTCATCGCTTGCCCGAGGCGGCCGCGATGCGCATACGCCCCAAACAGCGTGCTCCAGGCGAGCTCGTTCTTGTTCTTGGCGGGCATCGCATCGAATATTCCTTGGGCGATGGTCAGGCAACCGCACCGCCCGTACATGTCCACCAGGGATGTGGCCACCACGGCTTCTTGCTCGAGCCCTAGCGCGGCGGCGAGCGCGTGGATTGATCGCCCCTCGGCGAGTGCCGAGAGATTCGCGCAGCCGTCGAGGACCGCCGCGAATGTGAGCTTGCTGGGGCGGATCCCGGCGATTTGCATGCCGCGGAAGATCGCCAGCGCCTCCTTCCATCGCCCGTGCTGCGCGAAGGCGCCGATGATCGTGTTGGACGACACCAGGGATTCGTCGCCGCGGTGCTCGCGGAAGATCGCCGCTGCTCGATCCAGTCGCCCGCATCGGCCGTAGAGATGGAGCACGCAGTTGATCAGCACTGGGTTCTCGATCACCAGCAGCCCAATTTCCAGCGCGATCGCGTGGATCGCCTCGCCGGCCTCGAGCGCTTCCAGATTCGCGCACGCGGTGAGCGCGAGCACGCAGCTCACATTGTCCGGCGCGATCGATCCGGTGGAGATCATCTCCTGGAACAGCGCCAGCGCCTCCTCGTCTCTCTCCTGCTGGATGCAAGCGCTCATCATCGTGTTCCACGAGATCACGCACTGGCTCGCGTAGATCTCCCGGAAGACCCCGCGCGCCTCCGCGAGATTGCCAGACTTCCCATACATGTTGATCACGGCATTTGCCGCGAGAGGATTCTCTCGCAGGAATCCAGCGTCGGAAGCGATCCTATGGATGATCCTCCCGTCCTCCACATCCGAGCAAGCGCCCAGGACGCTGACGATCGTAACAGCATTCGCGCGAAAGCCCCCTTGTTGCATCGATCGAAAGCAAAGAATCGCATCGCGGTTTTGCCCGGTCTTGGCAAATGCGTGGATCATGCTTGTCCAGGTGATAAGATCTCTCTCGCGCATCCCAACAAAGATCCCAGCAGCGGATCCGGCGCTGCCACACGTCCCATACATGCTGATCATCGCATTTCCCAGCTTTGTCGCGTGGGATCGGCCGAATCCACTCGCCAGGATCTGGAAGTAGATCGCCTCTCCCAGCCGCGCGCTCGAGCAGGCGCCAAGAACAGTGATGAAGGTGATTGGATCGGCGCGCTCGCCATCGAGCAGCATCCTGCGGTAGAATCGCAGCGCCGCGGAGGATTGCCCGGCATCAGCGTAGGCGCCGATCGCTGCGGTCCACAGCACGACGCTCCTCCTGCCCGGGATTCGATCAAACACCTCGATCGCGTCGCGGAGGCTGTGGCAGCGGAGATACATGTGGAAGAGATGCGCGGCGAGCAAGGGATTGGAGGATTCCAGGAGGCCCGGGGAGTGGGCGATGATCCGGGCGTGGATCGCCCAGCCATCGTCCAGCGATCGCGAGCTCCCGCAAGCGCGCAAGAGAGAGCAGTAGCCCTCGGCGTCGATCGATCGCTTGGCTTCCATTCTTTGCAGCGCGCGCCATATCGACGAAGAGGGCATGCATTGGGAATATTCTCCAGGTCCAGCTCAAAAAGAATCTTTCAATGACCTTTTAATGTGACGTTTCTTGCAGTATGGGAATTAGGGCTTAATGCGCGATGATGCTTGTCCGCGGGATTCGTAGCGGCCGCGCGGCATCGGCGCTTCGCGCGACGCTCGTCGGTAAGATTCTAGCTGCTGGCGATTCTCTAGAACTCACGATCGCGCGCGCTATTGCAGGATGCTCGCAAATCGGCCATGGCGCCCGAGGCTTCGCTGGAGGGAGCGAAGCCGCCGATTCCTCTCCCGGCGGCAGCTGGGGGACTCTCTCGGTGGGAATCCTGTTTGGAGCTGCTGCCCTGTACTCGCAACCGGCATTTAGCGACAGCAAAGTTGTGAGTGTGATTGTGAGCTTGCATGAAGATGTTTTGATTGGATTTTTCTCTTTTGTCTAGTCCGGAGGATTCTTCTCGAGCAAAGTATCGGGAGGAAACTCGACTTCTTCGGACGATATGGAGAAGACACTGGAGGAAGTTCGCGAAGGATTGCGGGAACGATTGCGACCCTTGAAAATGCACGCTCTTCCTCCTATTACCGTCGTTTCTAGAGGGCAGCAGGTACCACGAATGCATCTTTCCCTTTCTATGGTCTTTTAATTGTTACTTCATTGTAACTAACAGGTTGCGGTCAGGTTTCCCGTGCCTCCAACTTGCGACACTTACCGGCTTGTCGTTGATCTGGTTTCTCATCTTGGTGGTGATGTGGATCTGGCCGTGAGAGCTTCCAGCAGGTAGTGTAGAGACAGAGTTGCGGCGATTTGATCTCTTCGTTTGTTCTGAATCAGTGCAGTTGCTCGACAGTTGGTAGTTTCCCATCCTGATCGAAACAGCGACAAAGTTTCTACGGACAGGCTTTGCGTTGTCATCTTCGAACCTCTCATAGGGGAGAAATCGTCGGTACGTTTGTTTGCTTTTAGATGAGAACTTGATGAGTGCGTGCAGTTGCAGGAAATAGAGTTTTTAAGAAAGGGGAAACTGAGTTCGGCGGAGCTTGACACGGTGATAAGTACTGTACGCACAGCTGCCGGTATCAATGTAGAGCCAGCGCCAAAAGTGAGAATTTTTAAGGGAGAAGTGAATGGAAGAAAAGTTAAGCGAGCTTTAGACGCTTTGGATAAGCTTGGAGTTAAGGTCTATGGCCTTGACATGGAGAGTGGCGAGACTGAGGCGGAAGGTCTCACGTGGCAAAGTATTGCAGGATATCACGAGCAAAAGAGGTACTCTTTTTTTTTACTTTGTTGTTATCCAGCTTACGTGTGTGATACAGGGAGATAGAAGATAACGTCCTCCTAGCTCTAAAACGTCCAGAAGTTTATGACAGTATTGCAAGAGGAACTAAGGAAAAGTTTGAGTCTAATAGACCACGCGCAATCTTGTTTGAAGGACCTCCAGGTAGGTTTTAGAAACTGAAGCGGACCTTCTCATTCTTTCCGTTTACACAGGTTGTGGAAAGACTTCATGTGCGAGAGTTATAGCCAGTCAAGCGGTATGTGTCATGTCTTCAATAACCTTGTTTTCTTGTTCGCTGACTGGATTGTAATGCCAAAAACAGGGTGTTCCTTTGTTGTATGTGCCTCTGGAAGTTGTGACATCCAAATATTATGGAGAGAGCGAACGCTTGCTTTCTTCCGTGTTTAATGCGGGAAATGATTTCCCGGATGGCGCAATTGTGTTTCTGGATGAGGTATATCGAGCTTTTTTGTTTAATCCATATTTCAGCAATGGACCTTACAGATTGATTCGTTGGCAACGAGCCGAGATAGTGATATGCACGAAGCCACCAGAAGAATGCTGTCAGTCCTCTTGAGACAGGTACAAGATTTTTTTCGTCTAGCTTTCCCGGTATTTAGACTGGTTATCTTACTCGGGAGAAGATGGATGGATTCGAGCAAGATAAACGGATTGTTGTCATCGCGGCAACAAATCGGAAGCAAGATCTTGATCCGGCGCTGCTCAGGTCCGCTTCCAAGTTTTGAATCAGTCGGAGTCTTACCGTTTTTTGGCAGCCGGTTCGATGCTTCAATCACTTTCGATTTGCCTGATTTACAAACAAGAGAGGAAATTGTAGCACAGTATGCGAGGCACTTAAGCCGGAAGGAATTGTCCTCTGTTGCAGCCACAAGTGAAGGGTACAATGCACTCTTTTATGAGTACTGGTTTTGAACTTTTCTCCATCCAGGATGTCAGGTCGCGATCTTCGTGACGTTTGTCAACAAGCAGAACGAAAGTGGGCTTCTAAGGTGAATTTCATTTTTATTATTAGGAAAGATCTTACGTCTTGGATTCCTGCAGCTAATCAAGGGACTCGTTGGAAATCCACCCACGCACGAACTTCCTCCTGTTCAAGAGTACATGGAGTCGGCTGCAAAGCGGCGAAGGACACTCGTGAAATGGGCCGAAGAGCAGGTTGTACAGCAATCCGCCAAAGCTAAAGTAGCTCTCAGTACAAGCTAAAGAAAAAAGGGAGTTTCTTCTACCGCCATTTTTCCTGATGACACTGGTTGGATGTTGGCTTCACCTCTTAGATAAGTCTGAGAATCGCTTCAAGGAGCGCGAGTCCAAAAACATGCCTGAAGTGAAGAAGCTGTCATCAAGTCAGATCATCAAGCCTGGTAAGTCGTCGTCCTCCTCGTCAGTATCAAACTTCTCACTGTCAGGTGCGTAGCTTCTGTTTTGGAGAGCTCTCTTTCTCAGCACGTAGACGTTAAAGTAGTAGCTTACCAGCTCCTCCCGGCTCCTCCTTCCCGCGAAGGAAGCTTGGAGGTCCGGCCAAAGCTTCTCCTCCTTGTCCCCGCGGCAGCTTCTCACGATCGCCGCAAACTCAGCTTGCTCTTGCCTGCTCCACTTGGCCGACTTGATTAAGCTCTCCCCCATTGAGTGAAACCCCCACTCGCGGAAGACGTCCTCTCCCAGCTCCAGCTTGAGCTTCCTGCGTTGCTCGTTGACGTGTAGCTTCACAGAGTCTTCCGCGCTATCGTCCGCGCTGAAGCACGTACTAGCGGTATGGCTTCGGTTTCTCGCCACCCTTTTGGACCAGACCACTCTTCCTAGAAAGAGCTTTGAGTCATCGTCGTCGGCATGGAGAGCCACGGTGGAGGGAACTTTGGCTTGAAAGCTTGGTCCGATTGGAACGCTCTCAGGCTCCGAGGAACTTGGAGGCTGAGGTTTGGGTCGAGGTGTGAGAGAGCGAAGGCTATACTTGGAAGGTCGTCGTGCTCTAGTGTTATCGTATCTCTGTACGTAAAAATACATACGAAGACGTCAGTTAGTTATTAAATGACATAAACCATTGGATTGATTAATTGTACCTTTTGGTGGTTGTCTTGCCTCTGGAGGCGACCCAAGAATGCCCTGATTGTAGCTTGGAATTTCCCACTGTCCCCTTCACGGAGGGCTGCATTTCCTGGATCCAGAGCCAGCTTCCTCAAATGGGCCAGGGCCTCTTTGACATGAGAGTGAATTGGAGGCTTTAGGGCCTCTTTGACATGAGAGTGGATTGAAGGCTTTTCATTTGGATCAACACTGGCTTTGGTGACATTTGCAGATGTAGCACCAGCACCAAAGACCCTGCCACTCTCAAAAGCCTTGAGGTACTTCAGATAGACTAACTTGACACTAGGCCCACAATGTGGTGGCAACCCTATTGAGGCTGCCACATCCCCCCACTTTCTAGACCCACTAGTTTTAGAGTACCCACCTGACTCTTTCACCTTGTCTAGCAAGAGTGCAAGGTTCACCTTATTACCTGCTATGAATACTGGAAGTGGCCTCTGCCCAAGTGCTCTTCTAGCTTGTAATGCCCACTCAACCTTCTTCTCAAATGCATCATTTCTAATTTCCATTGCTTCCCTTGGCAGCCCTAAAGCCCACTTCTAGGGTTTTACATACTCAAAAGTTGCAAAGTGATTTCATTCTTGGCAGGATTTGAGCCTAAGACTCTTGCACTTATGAAGTATATATTTTGGATATATTGCCTCTTCACATCAAATCAAATTTATAAACTAGTATCAAAAGAATCCATAATCATTCTAAATTCCACAAACATCACTAAAATTTACCTAAAGCCACTTCAAATTGTACACAAATCACTAAATCTATTGATATATTTGTAGGTCTGACCAATCTTGTAACATCATCACAATAGAAAGCCCATTTTTCTTGTCCAACATTGTCAATATAGTCACACTTCTTATTTAAGTGACTTGGAGGGCAATGGGTTTTTGAAGGTGAATCTAAAGTGCAATTTTCAAGTTCTACAAAAATTATACCCAATTTGCATTATTAACCATAAATGCCAAAGGATACTCTAATTAGAGATGCTCTATATGCAACAAACAAGCATCTGTCATCTTTCTTTACAAAGAAGTGTAATTGCTGAGATTGCTTGTGATGAGCATATTTGTAAATTTTTTGAGTAGCTTTTTCCTTCCCACTCCATGCTTTTATATAAGATATATTCATACACTTCTCCAGCCATGTTTTTAGTTTTGAGACCAAACTTTTCCACCAAATTTTGCTGAAATCTATTAATAATCTAAATGGAAAAAGCTTTTTTATTCAAATGTATGACTCCTGGAAATGAGACCAAGAAACCAAGGGAGCTCTTTTTTCCTTCCTATATGATGGGATATTTTCTTCCTGGCTCTGGTCATGTTTTTCAGCACTCTTACTACCATATCCTGGCCTTCCACAATGACTGCCTTTGACGAGGCCACGCGATTGAGCTTTGCATTAGTGCAGCTTGATTGATTTGCTGTACACTATATTCATGATTTCTTGTGAATATGTTGATGAGACAAGCTAGCCAATCTCTCCAACACTAAATTATGAAGCCTCTAAGAACAACTATTGCTTTTACAGTATATCATGTATTTTTTCTTTTCCAATGCAATCACCAAAAGCTCGAAGTATAATTTTCTTCTTAGAACAAATTTAACCTGTTTACATCATTCTTTTCCAGCAATTCTTGCACTGCTATTTCTAGTGCTACCACTAATTAAGCAGCTTACAAGAATCCACAACACAATGAAGCTGCCAAAGATAAAAGTAGTGCAACTCAATCTTCTTTCAATAAAAACTTGTAAATGCACCAAAGCTTAATGTCTTGTTCAAGGATTTTCAAAGGCTTGCTACTACCTTCAGTGTAAAGACTTGTCATATCAGTGACAAACAAAGCACTAGAGCTCTGTTTTTGATCTTTGAGCTATGATCCATCATAGTAATGCTTGCTCTCAGATTAGGAAAGAAATTTTAGTAAAGAACTTTCTAGCACTTTAATAGTTTGGATGTTCTAATTTAGCTATCCAGATGTTGTGGTTATAGAAGGAAACAAGAAAAGGAAAAGAAGTGAAGATTTCATTGCACATAGCTTGCTTGATTTTCTCTTTTACTTCAAGTTGCTTACATTGGTAGCGGGGAGTGACAATATGTCTGTTCAGAAGAATGTTCCCATCTTGAAATGTCATTTTTTATTTATATTCCAAATAAAGACTCAAGGAATGGGAAGAGATAAAAAAACACTTTCATTTTTCTAGCTATAAATGTTTCATTCTTGTCACCAGTGGTACCTTTGAGAACGAATACAAACACCTTGGATTTTCTATAAGTTCTAGTGTGCTTTCTATTAACTTTTGGAGTTGTTTCGGGTATGCATCAACGAGGACATCAATCTTCCTTAAGGGGGGAGAGTGTCATGAATGTGACTTTGGGTATTGAAAGATACTTGTCGGCCAATCCTTATGGACACTCTTTCTTTACTGCCATGTTGGCAAGAGGTTGGTACTGCTGATTCCCTTTATTAGCCCCTCTTGTCCACTTTTTTCACTTTAGCATTTGTTGGAGACGAGTGTTACTTTAAATAAAAATTCTGTAATAGTGGGAAAATTAAACAGAATGACAACATGACTAAAGTTATGATTCCCAATATATGAGATGGATGCTTAGGGCCATGATGGACATAGCTTCCCCCCAAGGTGCTAGAAGTAGTGCAAATTTTGGAGTCATTAGGACTTGCCTAATATAGTTTTAAAGCATATTTCACAGAGAGTGTAAGATTTCTTGCTGCTTACTTGAAACTAGAAATGGCCTCTACCCAAGTGCTCTTTTTTTGTAATACCTTCCCATTTTTTTTCTCAAATGCATCATTTGTAATCAATTTTAGTCCCCTTAGTGGTTGTATTAGGGCTCTAGCCCCAACCCTCTCTCACACTCTCTTCTGCTCATGCAATCTTTATTCTCTCATGCTCAAGCATGGCTTTGATAAAAGATGGTGGAATATTTTGGGATAAAAAAATTCTTAGGATCAGGCAACCACAAAGAAAGTAAAGAGAGGCAAAAAGTAAAGATGCAGCCAAGGATATCAAGGACTAAATTGAGCTGTTGCCTCAAAAGAAATATTCCAAACTCTCCCAAGTAAGCCTCAAAGTCCCAAACAAAGAAAATGGAAGTGATGATTGTAAGTAATAATTGTGACAGCATGAAGAGATGAATGACAGTGGTGGCCAAATGGTGTGAGAGGATAGTGGTGGGGGTCTTTTAGCATGTGATGGTTATTAAGTGTCTTTGCAATTCATATAATTGTCATAGAAGAGAAAAACATGTGCAGCTAGTACGTGGCATTTGCTACTTTTGGTGTTGTGGAGAGTGTGTTTCACCAACAACATCTGTCCATCAAAAGTGCTTGGCATTCTGTCAGGATCAGGTCCAACCAACACCAACTGCTGTAGAAATCAGCTGCTATAGTGTCTAGAAATTTGCAGAAAGATCACTACATTGAGATAGTTTACACCATATCTTTGTATTTGTGCTGTTTTATAATGTTTCCACTGTGTAATGCTGTGCTGGACATGACGTAGTCGAATCCCCATTATTGTATGAGAGATATGGAATAGAATATAAGCAGAAAATTGAAAGACAATGATGCAGCTGGTGAACAGGTGAGTGAATGGTGACTATGAATAGATGACATTTAAGAGTATGATGTGTAGAATGAAGTAATGTGGAGAAAACTGGGACAAAGAAGTAAACATAGAAGAAACTTGACCTTCTGAATGAATACCTTGAGAACAGAACTCAAGGAAGATCTTAGTTCTCCAGAGGAAAACATAATTTATAACAAAATAGAAAGCTGGAAGAAAGAAAAGAAAGAGAAAAGAAACACTAGAGATACTGCTTTAAGTTTTTTATTTAGTTTTACTATTTTACTATACTCATATGAGTTTTAGATGCATTGCATTCAGTCCAACTTCATAGCTTTTTACATGAGGTTATTTGTTAGTGAGATACTTAGAGATGACCTATAAACATAGAAGAAACAAACCTCTGTGCTTGCCAGGAAAAGGTTGTGCTGGATCCGACATTGTGACTGAAGTTTTACCTCATGCTTGGATCTCTCACCTAGTCATGGCATCTTGGTAAGAAATAAGATGAAAGAAAATAAAATAAATGGCAAGAGAAGAAAAGAAAACTTACAAGCATGCCAACATTGGGGTTGTGCTACAACACTTAAACAGTGCCATGGCTTGCAAGGCCATGGCTATGGCCAGCCACAGCCAGCTATGGCATCTCAATTGTTGGCTTGGAAAGAGGGCAGCCATGGCAGCAATACTGAGAAAAAAAGGTGCCATGGCAGCCAACATTTACCCTAACATAATAATAAACTGTTAGGCATCTGAATCTATATATGGTAGAGCCATAAGAGTTCCATGGTGACATCCAACACAACCTCGTGTGCAAGCAAGTGATGGATCCAAGCTTATAAATGTTTTTTAAGTTCTTTGAGGATGTAGGTTTGGCCTTGTTTCTTCTTGACTGCCATGAGGCAAGCTAAACTATCAGGTCTAAACCTCCCACCAGTGAACGATTTCTAGGAAAGGAATGGACTCCATGGAATCTTGTGTTCATAGTCTCGACTGCCATACCAATCCACCATTTCATTTGCCAAGTGATATAGATGTATCCTTATCTCCAGCTTGAAGCCACAAGTGTATGATGTGGGACGATACAAGGTCATCCCATTTCTCCTCACCAATTGTAATGGTTTTCTTGATCCTAAGAATCCTTACTTGCTCTCTCTTGTCCAAAGTCCTACTAGTCCATCTTCCTCATGGGCATACAGAATTCTTCTTCCGAATGAGGATGAGCTAATGATCGTGGTGCATCTGACAAGGCTGGAACTGGTAAGTGTGTGTAGCAGCACCATTGAGAAAAACTTAATCATTTCCGAGACACTGAAAATGAGCAGCAATCCTCACTCAACCTAAAAACTACTTTACAGGGATAAACTTTAAGAAAAAACTTATATATATACTCAATAAATTAAAAAAAAATTGTGCATTGTATGCAGCAATGCTTGCTTAATAGTAGTGTCATAGTTATTTAGTATTTTTGAATAATCCAATTAATCAATAATTATAAACATCTTTATAATTTGTAAATCAAGATTAATTTTATTGCATATTAACCATTAGGTGGTAGAATAAAAAGAATACTAGGAAATTTTATAAATTATAAACATGTTTATAAAGTATAAATACAAGATTAATCTAAATGAATAACAATCATTAGATGGTAGAATATTCTTAAATATCCAAATATATTCTAGGTATATCCACTACCATCCCTACAGGTTTTGCTTAAGAAAACCAAAAACTCATAAGGTATATATACAACACTTAAGAAACTAAAAAATACTCATATTCTTCTTTTAAAATACTAAGTAATTAGATTAAGTAGATACTAAGTAAATAGATTAGGCCCTTGGAGTATGGAAGGAAATGCCTCCAAAGCAAAAAAACTCAGTCTAAAGCACTCACAAAAATCAAGTGAAGTATCAATGCTTGTGGAAGATGCCA